TTCTGCCTTTTTCTTTTTTGATCTGATTTTGGATCTATTATATTCAATCACAGTGTTCCTTTGATTACATAGGATTGAAAACGAACAAAATACGATGTCCACATGACAAATAATTACACTTGCACAGGTGACTCCACTAGTCCATGAGTCTTTTTAAAATGTTGATGAATCAAAGTGTTTTTTGACTGAATAAACACAGAAAATGGAAACTTTTAAATGTCCACATGGAAATTAGCTGCATTGATACCGCTAACTTCACAAGTTTAAATAGTATATTTCGATACAAGCGCGACGGGGTGGCAACGAGTGTGAAGTTCTGCCAATCACACGAGTTAAAGCACCCCGTCGCACGTGTATCCGAACTATATTTTTCATCACGCTGTGACGAAAAGTGAACTTTTCGGCACGCTCCGCGTGCCTAAAGGCCAATTTCCACTACATTGTGATGAAAAATATTGTTCGTAACTCGTGAAAAAATGTTTTTTAGCTCGTGGGATTATATCACTACTATTTCATCACAATGTGACGGAAATTGGACTTTTAGGCACGCGGAGCGTGCCGAAAAGTTCACTTTTCGTCACACCGTGATGAAAAACTAAATAAATACGTTAGCTCCAATAGTTCGTATTACGAAAACTGAAAAGTAGACACACAAAGTGTTGCCGACTCGGGTTTATGAGATGTCACCAGCGCTATGCCGAAAAAGACACAATTGGTGGCCGAAAGTCACCAGATTAAAAAAAAATCATAAGTATGAACATTTTTTATTATTTCTCAAACACTCAACGAAATGAACAAGTGTAGACAGACCTAAGAATTATGATAAAAATGTTTTTGATCCAGTCACTCAACCAAAAAAATTATTAGAATCAATACGTCTCAAGTATATCTCGAGCACATGAAGATAAAATTTATAGGAGGCATGCTAAATAATCTGTGAGAGAACTGTTTTCCTGGAAGCATATGAACTCGTCGATGATGCATTATTTCCACGCGTTGGAGCCGATTACGAAATTGAGATGAAGAATTTGACTCTGGTCGCGTCAATCGATGTAAAATACAAATATTACAATGAATTAGCGAAGCAGACAAATTGATACAAGTGGTTGACTTTTTTCAGAGTGAAACGTCCAATGATAGAATAAATAGTAATTACTCCTCCCAATAGAGAACTTGCTTGAAGCTCAATTTTCCCTATTAACCTATTATATACAGACAGAAAAATCGGAACGTAAATTACGTTTTGTTAAGCATAATTTATCTTTAATACCAATATAATATCTGTTTGATTTTTTTCGCTAAGATAATAGGAATTTGTGCTCCAAAAGGGCGTATTTCACGGTCAAAATAAAACCGTAAATTACGCACAAACGAGGCGTCTTTTACGTTTCATTAAACATATTTGACGCTCAAGAAATTGTAAATTACGACCTTAATAGAAACGTATGTTACCATTTACTAATGCGCAATTTACCAACAACAACTTTGTAGTTCATGCTTTAGGATACTCAAGTACTTTAGCTATTTTTTTTCCACTGAAATGGTTTTCTACTTTTGTAGTCAAACATCAGCTTTCATTTGGGTCCCACTTGACCCTAAGTTCCCGGACATTTTACAATGATTGTATTATTTAAACTTTGCAGGTCTGAATTTGAATCTCGATATTGAACCATTAGAAAACATTTTTTTTAATGAAAAAAATTAGAAAGTTTACTTTTGGAAGAAAATTGATGAAATAATTAAAAAATGATCTTTTTGTGAATGCAAAATCGGAAGTATCTCGGAATCTTCGTATGAATGGATATACATATTTGGGTTGACCTAGATAGAAGACGAATATTTTGAAAAAAAAAATGAAATCGGTCAAGTAGTTTTCCGTACTGACCTTCCCTTTTCCCAGTCCGGGGATTGGTATTGACCCTTCCCCGAACTGACAAAAGTGAAATCAATTTTTTGTCGAGTTATCGCGTGTACAAGGAATTTAGCCAAAAAATTAAAAATCGGAAATATCTCGAAAACTTTGTATGAACGGGTATATATCTACATATGGGGCATTCCATGTCAATTCCACCCTGATTTTTTTCAATTTTTTTTAATCAATTCTTTAATTTTTTATCAATTTTTGAAGTAGATGAATGAAAGCCCCATTTTGAAAATCTGAAAAAATTCACAAAAATTTTATGCTACCAAAAAGTTGTTTCAAGCTATTTTTTAGGGTGGAAATAGAAATAGTACACCCGACGCTAACCCTATTTCTGTATGCGCTAGGAAAAAAATTACATTTTATTTGTGGAATTTACGTTAACGGAAGTGCTGAATCCGAATCCGACGTCGATTTTTACAAGCTGTGGTCAGATCTATTTATCTATAATATTTTCATTGTTTAATCGATCATATCATGGAAACGGTTGCAGACAGAGAAAAAAAATCAAACGAAAGATGTTTGTTATAGAAAAATACACATTTTTTATTATATAACTTTTTCTCCTAACTGCGATAGATAAAGAATTATTATGGATGGGAGGGAAGTGGGCAGCACGGTAACACTTGCGCGGATGTTGGGGCGCTCCGATGCGTTTATTGGCAAATTCGATCGAGATAGAGGAGAATGGTTCAAACGAAAAATGTTCATCATTGAATTTGACATATTATTGATGATTTGCCATTTGATCCGTTAATTTTTTATGAATTTTCTAAGTTGATTGACGAAGGCCCCTACTGGAAAATTTGAAAAAAATTACAAAAATTTGATATTACCAACTAAGTATTTTACGGCATATTTTAGAGTGAATATAAAAATTAATCGTGTAATAGCTGCATTGATTCAAAAAAAAACTCATTATTGTCAGATTATAGTTTTTCTTGCAAATACTAGTTATTTCTATAAATTGAATTCCGATTTTGGTCATGATTTGTTCCTCAATTCTATATCATGAGATGAGGCTTCAGTTGAAATTTCAGTCCAAGATGAAAATTTTTGAACGAGTTATGATTTTTTTTAAATTTTGCTTTTTTTCGCTTGTAAAAAAAATTCCTATCGCCTTTGATTCCCACTGAACAAAATCGGTGTCAACGATTTTTTTCGACTCCCGGTTTCACGTGGAATCGCCCAGTAAGGAATTGAATATTTGATGAATATCGAGACAAGTCAATAATCAAGTCGAAGTAAGCCCTAAAATGTAGATTTCGGCGAATCTCCATGGAATTTTTTCTCCATCTTATGCGATTTTAATGATTAAGTGCTGAAGTTCAAATCTGTCCTTCAAGAAACTAAGATTGATAGGTCTATGGAAATAGATTTGCGGTACTCACTGTGCTCAATGACAAAAAATTTGTATATATGGAAAAATATATGAATTTTATCCTGCGGAATTCAATTCTCCTTTATCTTGATCGAGTTTGCCAATAAACGCATCGGAGCGCCCCAATATCCGCGCAAGTGTTAACGTGCTGCCCACTTCCCTCCCGTCCATGATAACTCTTTATCTACCGCAGTTAGGAGAAAAAGTTATATAATAAAAAATGTGTATTTTTACATAACAAACATCTTTTGTTTGAAATTTTTTTCTCTATCTGCAACCGTTTCCTTGATATGATCGATTAAACAATAAAAATGTTATAAATAAAAAGACCTGATTACAACTTGTAAAAATCGACGTCGGATTTGGATTCAGCACTTCCGGTAACGTAAATTGCATAGATAAAATGTAATTTTTTTCTAAAAAATAGCTGGATACAACTTTTTGGTAGCATAAAATTTTTGTGAATTTTTTCAGATTTTTAAAATGGGGCTCTCGTTAATCTACTTCAAAAATCGATAAAAAATTTAAGAGTTGATTTAAAAAATCTGAAAAAAAATCAGGGTGGATTTTTCATCGAGTAGAATTATGAAAAAAAAATGAAACGAATTTGAGATGGTCAAGGTTTAAACCGGTCGAATTGACATGGAATGCCCCATATATTTTGATTGATCTAGATAGAAACCGTCGAGACGAATATTTTGATAAAAGAAAAATTGAAATCGATGCAGCAGTTTGCGTGATATTGTGGAAAAACGAAATTTAAACAAGTTGTTATATCTCAGGAACTATTCGACCGATCGGGCTAAAACCGCGCGCCAAAGTTGATCTCAATCATAGCTACAATGAGCTGAAATTTTAGATTTTTATCTACAAATTTCATATGTGTGTGTTGAATTTTCTAAAAATTAATCACCAAAAACGCAAGTTGTCACATACATCTGCGTGGATGACCCTAAAAATATCATTTCTTCACGTTTCATACCATTCTAGACCATTTACAATCAAAATTAGAGAATAAGCCCGCTGGCTTGGCGCAGTGGGTAAGTTCATTGCCTCACATGTGAAAGGTTCCGAGTTCAAATCCCGGCCGAGTAGAATGGTGCGATCTAACCATTTAAAGTCTTGATCATCATCGCAGTATACCCTAACCGGGTCGAAGCGATGTAAAACAACGATAAGAAAAAAAATTAGAGAATCTAAAATTCAGCCAAATACAAAGCTTCCATTCGACAGCATAAAATAAGATCTCCGTGGTTAATTACGACTGAGTAAACGTAAAATAAGGAAAAAATCATTGTAATTTACGAATACGAAAAAGTAAATTACATTTGGCAAACCGTAAATTACGCTTAACGAAGCGTAATTTACATTCAAGTTATTCTGTGTGCAAACCTCTTTTCATTGATTGAAGTAAATCGGGCTATTCTTGCATAACTAATAATCTTCCCAGTTATCAGTGGCACTTAAGTGCCACTGACTGATCTTCCCAGTTATCAGTGGCACTTAAGTGCCACTGATAACTGGGAAGTGGTATGGCTGATAACCGGTGAAAGCGAACAGCTAATAGGAACCATCAAAATTTCTCACTCAGTCGGAACTGAAGCCGAGTGATCCGTAGTCAATTGCATATATAACAAATTCTCGCAATCACAAGTGGCAGTAGTTCATTGAAATTTCCTGAAGTCAGCACCCCAGAACATGGGAAAGTATCTACTCTTCACGATTTATATTACTATATCAACATTGTCAATCGATGTAAATGGAGATAACTACTGCAAGTTGGATGACTCCGGTAATTTCGAAATTTGTGGATCCTCCGACGTCATTCCATCCATCACTCAAGTGAGAGATGCCCCATATCTGAAATTGCTTATGAACGATTTTTCTACAATCGCTCCAGATGCGTTCCAAAACGTAGAAATTCTCAAGCTTCACGTGAGTTATCAGATTTCGAACAGCTGCATTCCAAAAAAGATTGAGTTGACAACGGAATCATTCAACGGTTTGCTTGGGGAATTTATCATCGAGATGGATTGCGTCAAATTTCCAGTGGAACCAAATCCCTTCAAGAATCTCAAATAACTCAGATCTTTGTGGCTAAGATGCGATGAAATTACGAGATTTACTCCAGAATTCTTCGCAGACTTTCCAAAACTTGAAGAACTGAGATTGATTGACGGCAACATAGCAACGATTTCTCCCGCTATATTATCCAATGTCAGCGACAAACTTGAAGAACTATCTGTGATAGACAGAATAACCGTCATCGAGCCAAAATCCTTTGCAAGACTTTATAATTTGATGGAACTTACGGTGAACGGAGGTCAGTTGTTCAATCTATCATCTGACATGTTTGACGGCCTCAGAGGTCTGACATATCTGGACTTGTCAGACAATGGGATCGAGGTATTCTCTGAGGATACTTTCAGTATACTGCCCCAATTGAGAATCCTCCGATTGCAGAACAACAGAATCAGTCAAATCAAAGCTGGAACCTTTTTCGGGGTGAAACTCCGTGACATTAACCTGGCGAACAACACATTGAAACATATATCGGGTGGAGTCTTCAATCGTTCCAGAAATCTGAAAAAGTTGAGTCTCCGCTCCAATCGCATAGAAATCGTCCACTCCAGAATGTTCTCAGGATGTCGTAAACTTAACAGTTTGTCTTTAGAGGATAATAACATATACCACATCGATCCACAGTCTTTTCGTAGGCTACGTCTCGATTCGTTGAATCTGGAGAATAATAACATAACTTTTTTGGATAATAACACTTTTAAAGGCCTCCATGTTTATGGTCTAGTAGATCTCAGAGGAAACAACATGACTGAAATCATGCCACGGGCCTTTGGGGACTTACTTGCTAAGTGGGTATTGTGTTGTTACCGTAATGCGAGCCAAGTTGAGGTGGAAAGCTGGAATAGAGCTGCTTCAGTTGAGCAGTTTGTCATCGATGATTGTACTGTACGAGTCTGATTGCTGTTTCAACCATGGCTTTTGTAACACAGAAATGTCTTTATAGTCAATTTGGGAATTACTTTTATTCCAATTTTCTGCAACTTTTTTACCGTCCATTTGTCATTATTTCCCTGTGCATGGCCATTGTTCCTTTGCAGTGTTCATCTTTTTTGTCAGAATGCATTTGTCCAGTAATTTTTCCTGGATGTAACATGGACCGCAAATATCCTCAATCAAGAGGGTAACAGTGTAAATATTCCGGTAAATATTATTACGAGCGAAAGTGTTATTTGGTCTTATTATTATTGGGGTTTTTCATCAAGTGTAGTCATATTAAATGGTAATGATATGGTTTTGTTGGAATTATTTTTTCAATCTCCGAAAATGTTCAAATAATTTTTTATTCGATTACTTTAGAATTTTATCTTTCGACGGGTTCTCGTTTTAAAATATAGTGTATTCCATGTGTATTATTTTTTACATTTAGGAAATTAATAGACTGTGGACTATCTTTAGCTCACCACATCTCCAGGTGTCAGGGAGCAAGGGGAATATCGCCCCCCACTACGTGTGTGACATCACGCACGGGAGATAGCCCCAGAGGGGAGGTATGTTTTAGGATATGGAGGTAGCTATAGCGTTCTAGCTCGAATAGTCGCGGTATCTCTGTCGTGAAACACGCCAGTGACGCGTAGAGAAATGGTAACCTCTACCGTTTTATTCTTGGTATCCACAGCCCCAAAGGTGGAGAGCTACGACTTCCGCAGTAAGTATATGGGAGTAGAAGGAAATCGACTGCAGAGCTGAAATATTAGGACTATGTTCTTTGAGTGATTACAAGTATCCTCTCGAAGGCGCAAAATGCTGAACCACGTAGATTGTTGAGGAGAAAATATGAAAAATATGTCATCAGCACAGAGTCTCATGCCACCACTTTTTCAAAAATCACAGAAAAATAATCGATAATGGAATACAAATTTGAACGCTTCACGAATAGAACCGTATATATTTCAAGAACATATCCCCACAATTTCATTTCATTGAAAATCCCAGTAAATTAAAGAATTCTTGTCTTTCTGCTACACAAAAATTTGAACAATCAGGGAACTTTTAGTGAAATTGACAATTTCATTATTATTTCGTTGAACGATGTTTATCGAAAACCGCGAGCGCTCAAGAACATTTGAAATGTCCTCCACTGAGAGTCAAAGTTTTTTTCTTTACGCTAATAACAATTTCAACCCATCAACTCAGCTTGATTCTCGCAATTTACAATTAACTGAAAAGGGAAAATATCCTTTTTTGCTCCTGAATGAAAGCATTGTATATGTGATTTCTTTTTTTTGGAAATGATTGACGGTTATCATGAAACTTCAAAACACGGAGAGAAATTCTTTAGAAAAATTCTAGTGCTAGTTGTAGAAAAAATCCCAATCCGCCGGCTATGAAAAATCCTGTCAAGATGAAATTGCTAGGAATTTGTGATTAAATTTCCAGGGATATCTGCAAAAATTTCATATAAGAACGGAAAAAATTAACGTGCTAATTAAAAAGTCGTTGAGTAGGAATTTTTTTACAAGGAAAAGTAAATTTAAAAATCAAAAAAAATATTATTCATCATTGATAATTTTCCCCACGAGTTCTAACTTTGATGAGTGTAAAAATCTTCATATAATTTTTTTAATTACTTGACATTTCTTTTTCTTCTTCTCTCCTTAAAAAAATCGAAAATGAAAAACTTCTGAAGGAATCTCTATTGTCTGAGTTTTAAAGAAAAACTAGAGGCTATCATGAAGGAATGTTATCGATACGACAATGTGCCATCTCAAGTCAGGAACATGCCGTCCTGTTGAAACACAATTCTAACACATAAGGCACATACGGGAGATTTTTTCAACGATTCCTGCTCTATCGCTTATGTTCAAAAACAATGGGTACAAAGACTAAAGAGCAAATATTGAAGATGACGCATGATTTGAGACAAAAGTTGGAATTATGTTATTCATGAGTTTGATATTTGCAGTGCATTCTTTTGATGACTTCATTATTCACAAAGACGCCTTTCAATTTTTTATTTTATCATTTCGATGGATACGGAACTTACGTCAATGAATTCCATTTATATTTAATTGTTCGTTGATTCTCAGTGAATAGAATCATCTTTGAAGTGCAAGGCTGTCAATTGCACTTTTGGAATTTGTTTATTCAACAATATTCACGAAATTCAAATTCTTTGTTCATTTATAGAAAATGAATGTATTTGTATGTATTTTATTGAAAAATCGGTAGAATTTCCTCTTTCTATACATTTTTTTTTTCTAATGAGACATATCAACCTGAGTTTTCCAATTTTTTTTGCTCAATTTTGCTATTCTTCTCATTTGATGAAAAATTGAACAAACAAATCTTGAAAATTTTAGCACGGGAAATTCTACAGAAAATATTCCAATAGAATGAGTTGTATAGAAAAATGGATTCTATTCATGTTTTTATAGGATATTGATAATTATTTTCTTTTCCCGTTAATGAGATTGTTAAACGATCCTCGAAAGCTCCGACTTCACCTCGAAGATCGCCCAGCAAGATAAACGATGCAAACTTTTCCTAATCGCTCTACAATTGTGCTACCTCTAACCGAAGGGTGAGCTCCACTGCAGTCCAGAATCATGCTGCCTAAGTAGAAGAAGGGACCCAAGGATGATAGCCTTCTGCATTTACTATTATTACTACGGGGCTACGCCCCCTGCTCGCTCCGCTCGCCAACCCCCATATGACCCCCATAATATTTATTGTGACCTTTGTGACCCTTAATATAACCTTTGCGACCTTTAATTTCATCCTTGTGATCCTTATTACTCTTATTTGGACCCTTAACCTGACCCTTGTGACCTTCGTGACCCTTATTCTGACCCTCATGACCCTTCATCTGACTCAAACAGAAAATCTATGAGTTGAATTTTTTTTAAATTATTCTTAGTGGCTCGTAATTAGAATTGATAAAATAAGTTTTTAAGGAAAAAAATAATGAATCTTCAATATCTTTGCCAATAATTGAGTTAGAGAGTTCCGGTTATGCTCATTTTTCATCTTTTGGACTATACTTTCCGATAAAGAAAAAAGAAAATAATTTTTTTCAATTTTTCAGACAATTTTTCATGTACAAAATTGACAGATTCGTTCATTTATTAAACTTATTTGAAACCTACTTTTCATCAGTCTACAGAATGGGTGACGTTTGTATGAAGTTTTGAATTATCAATGACGAAATTTCTTGAAATTTCAGTGGAACTAAAATGTCATAAAAATATCCATAATGTGTTCGTAACCGTAGGCTCCGTCTTTTATTTCCCCACAAATCTCTCCTTTGTCTGTGACAATTAGAATGTACATCACACTTATTTGAAAACTTCTTTTGAATAATCACGGAACGGGTGACGAATCATCCATTCTCGGTAACTTTTAATAGCCTCGGAGTCTCACCGATACTGTACTGAGCAGCTCTACAACAAAGTATCGATAGTGACAAACATCTATATAATGGGGATGATAAAAGTTCTGTAGTCAGTCAGAGCCGAGGCTGAGTAAATTGCAATTAGCTCTGCACACATACTTCTCAAACGCAGTATCAAGTGGTAGTCATCGATTTTCATCAGCCGCGGCAACACCATTTGAAATATGGATAGATTTTTACTCGTCTCGATTTGGATTGTTGCGTCAATATCTTCAATCAGCGCAGACGAGGGTCCACAGTGCACGCTGGATAATCTTGGTATCTTCGAAGTTTGCGTCGACTCCGAGGTGATAACATCCGTCAATCAAAAACAAGATTCTCAGAGTCTCTCATTAATTGTAGCCAATGTCTCCGCCATAGCTCCATATGCATTCCGAGAAGTGAAAATCCATAAGCTCAAGTTATGGGGCAATCTGAATTCGTGGAACTGCACGCCGAAGGTCATCAATGTAACGCCAGAATCATTTGAGGGCTTGTCTGACATCACTTCCCTCGAGCTGAAATGTTTGGAGTTTCCAGTGGAATTGAATCCTTTCAAACATCTCGAAGCACTTGAAGATCTCCGATTGACAGGAGTTGACTTCTCGAAACTGGGTGACGAATTTTTCGCTGACTTTCCAAATCTCAATGTATTAAAATTAATCGACTCAAAAATTACTATCATTACTCCCAAAACATTCTCAAAAATTCCTGAACAACTCAAGCAATTATGGATAATACGTGGGGTAAGCGCTATTGAACCGAAGTCTTTTGAGAGATTTCGTAATTTGAAAGGTCTGGGGCTGCATGAAGGTCAGTTAGCTAGTCTATCATCTGGAATTCTTCATGGTCTTCATCAGTTGGAACACCTGAATTTGCAGAAAAATGGTATCCAAGAGATAGCTGCAGATGCATTCAGTGGACTACCCAGTTTGAAAACTCTCTATTTGACTTCAAACCAGATAAAGGAACTAGAACCGTTTACCTTTGCTGGATTGAACGTCCATCATCTTGCTCTGTCGTACAACCAATTGGAGCATCTGACTACTGGAGTCTTTCAGAATCTTCGACATCTGAGTTATTTGGACCTCGATTTCAATCACATAACTAACATCGACTCCCAGAGTTTCGAAGACTGCCCTAAACTTGCGATGCTCAATTTGGATTCCAATATTATACAGCACATCGAGCCGAGAGCATTTTCGGGTCTAAATCTCCACACGCTCGATTTGACAGATAATAACATCAGTGTTTTGGGAAGCGACACGTTCGCTGGTCTCCGTGTTGGTGAGATATTGGATCTCCGTAATAACAACATCACGGAAATTAAGCCACAGGCATTCAGGAATTTGATAGCTCGATGGGTAGCACTTTGTTACATCAACGAGGCTGAGGTTGATAGAGATAGCTGGGGTGTGGGTAATTCAATTCAAATGCTGGCCATCGATCGTTGTGGTCATGTGTAGAATGATGAGGATTTTGTGTAAGGCATTTCATTCGGCAACCAGAGATGGGATTCTCCGCGCGGAACAGAACTTTTTGGCGCCGTAGTCTTGGTGCCAAACATATTGTCGCCCGTTTTTCTGGCCCCTATAGAATTTTTGGTACTTTATGTCATCAATAACAACACTTCAGTATCTTTGGAAGAATTTTTTTTTATATTTTACTGAAAAGAATTATTATTTCAAATGATCGATATTTCTGTTTTTCGTATTTTCTTATATAGTATACTTTCTATTAAAAAAAAATATTGCATTAATTTTTTCTTCCATCGAAATCATTTTTTTTCTTGACATTTATTCATCCCAACAAATAACAATATTTTAAATCATGAAACACTATCAATTTACAAATTTTTTGATCAATTTTTTCTATCGAATTTACGCTTCTTATTTCCTTATTCATTTAACGCAACAGATAACAATAATTTAAGTGACGGAATAATATTAATTTCCACGTTGTTACGTTATTAAAAATTTCACCAGTCACGGATCACTATCAATTTACAAATTTGGTGACGCTGGCCCATTTAAGGATAATCGGGCGAGCCCGGAGGGTTAGGAAAAAAGCAGCAAATTTTTTATTTTTTATTTTTTACGTATTCTTTAAATGATGGAAAAGGCGTGTGCAAAGTTTCAGACTGCTGGGGAACATGGTTAATTTATTATGAATTTTTGAAAAAGTGGTCATTTAACCCGCGATCTTATGGAAATTACAAAAAAAACTGCAAAACTCAAGGAAAAAAAGCAGCCAAAGTCATGCAACTTTAGACACATTTAGAACATGTGATCAATGATTTTTTGAGTGAAAAAGATTGTCGCCTAGGAGCATTGTTTATTAATAATAGCGAAAAAAGTACTGAAAAATGAAATTTCTGCGCACGCAGCCCAAACGAGCAGCAACGATCGTGAAGTACCGATCGGGTGGGGGTAGCGCGGTCAATTTAAACGTCTCTTGAGCGATGAAGCGTTGTGATTGGAGCTCCCTCGAGCCAGTGGTGTCAGCTCCTGGTGAAAAAAAAACTCCCGACGATGTTGCCACTTTTTCGCATGGATTAATATTTTTTCATTTACTTTAAAAAAAAAACAATCTGCAAACCATTCAATGCGTGGAAGATACAAATAAATTTGATTAGCTCCAAAAATAATTTTTAACCGGAGATACTCCCTAATATTGCCTGAATTTTGAATCCGAATGGGAAAAATTTTTTTGTTCAGCGATTGGTTTTCTGCAGGAAAACAATAGAAACCCCTCCGCCTCACCTCCTACATTTCCTCCTCACCCGATTATCCTTAAGATTTGGAAATTTCGTAAAATTCATTTTTTTTATTACCGTGTGCAGTTTTATTGATATAGTATATTTCCCACCAAGGGAGGGAAAATAACGAAGTCGTGCCCACGTGCAGAATTACCAACCGAGCCGAAGGCGAGGGTGGTAAACACGTGGCTAAAGGTTCTTTATTTTACCTCTCGTGGTGAGAACGTTATTTTTCGTCACGGCGTAGGCGGAAAGGTAGATAAAATAAAGTAACAATAAAAAAATTTAATGCGAAAGGTAACGGTCACGGGTCTTCTGTCAGATAGGCTCGAACCTCTGCTTATTTCTGTGTTCAATAATCCACAAACACCATATGACTCACGCAATTATTATTTTTCGTCTACTATTAATCCACCGATTGTAACTAATCTGAAATATCCAGTTGTATTCGATCACGTAATGTGCGAAGAACTGCAAAGCATCACAGCTGAAAATCGCCGGCCGCAAACATATAAAGTCACAATGATCAAAATTTTGTATTCAGTAAGAACCGAGGCTGAGCGTTGTGTGGTTCATTGTGTATATACGAGGTTCAAAAGCAATACTAAAAGGTAGATGTTAATTTGAAGCAGCCCAGATAGAAGCCTCGCAACATGGACACGTTCCTACTGATCACAGTTATCATTGTTGCATCAATAACCTGCACTAATTGTTGGTTGTTGCGGGAGCGTATTGGAGATTTCATAATTTGGGGCGGACCCATCTTAACAGCCATCAAGCAAACGAGAGATAATGAGAAGTTTCAACTGTATGTAATGAATTTCGCCGCCATAGCCCCACGTGCGTTCCGAGGAGTGAACATCTCTCGACTCATCTTAACGACGTTTTCAAAATGGAGGAAGGCTGTACTCCGAAATTCATCGGTTTAAAACTAGAATCGTTCGAGGGCTTATCTAAGATCGTTTACCTCAAGCTGGTCTGTCTAGAGTTTCCAGTAAATCCGAATCCTTTCAGATGCTTCGAAGCACTCAAGTTTTTGCAGTTGGATAGAGTTGATTTTCCAGGACTAGGAAATGAATTTTTTGCCCCTTTTCAAAATCTCAAACAGTTTCATTTAATCGACTCCAACATTCCCACCATTTCTCCCGATGCGTTTTCAAAAATTGCTAAAGAACTTGAAGTATTGCGGATAGAAGGTGGGGTAAGCGCTATAAAACCAAAATCTTTTGAAAGATTGCACAATTTGAAAGTTCTACATTTGTCTAATGGTCAGATAGCTAATCTATCACATGAAATGTTTGATGGTTTCGATGAGTTAAGAATACTGTATTTGGGGTGGAATCATATCCAAGTGTTAGCGCCTGGAACATTCAGAGAACTACCCTCTTTGACGACTCTTTATTTGATGAAAAACAAGATAAAGAAACTTGAACCGGGCATCTTTTCCGGAATGAACCTCAGTTATCTTAATCTGAAAAGAAACAAATTGCAACATCTGACTACTGGAGTCTTTCATGAACTTTCAAACCTGAAAGTAGTGGACCTCAGTCACAACCACATACGTAACATCTCTTCCCAGATTTTCCAATACTGCCCTAAACTTCGGCTCCTCAAATTGGATTTCAATTATATAAAGCATATTCAGCCAAGAGCATTTTGGGGTCTACATCTGAAGGAGGAGCTCGACCTGAGAGGCAACAAAATAAGTGTTTTTGCAAATGACGCATTCGCTGGTCTTCGAGTTGATAGATTTTTGACTCTCGTTGATAACAACATCACCAAAATTGCACCACAAGCATTCAGAAACTTGACAGCTGGTCGCGTAGACCTTTGTTATGAGGATGGCTCCGCTGACATACGAGATTGGGGCGTGGATGTTTCTATAGAGAGCTTTATCATCATCAACGGTAATAAGTACTTCTGATGATTCAAACGGCAGTGACTACGGCAGGCAACCTACATCTCGACCCCCTAGTACAAGATAAGCGTACAGAGTATGGATTGGCCGCATCAGCCTGACAGATCAATCGATGGTGGCTGATTTCCTTGAAACAATGATGCGCCATCTTTTACACTACCATCTTGCCGTATTTCTCCGTAACCTTGTACTAAATCAGCGATGTCCAGTTATATTCGATTAATCGAAATTGAATGCAAAAAATAATTGTTAATTCTAATCGAGCGAAGCGAGATTAGAATCGCTGTTTACCGGGCCTTCTCACGAAAATTAGATTAACTTGAATGCCAAGGGTGAGTAAAAAAAATTAGTCTCCTGTTTTTCCAAGTCATTTTTCATTTTTCGAGTTAAAATTGCAAAAACCATATATTCATGTTATATGGCTTCCTCAATTATCCTGCTGTGAAAATGAACGGTGAAATATAGATGCCATGGAGAATATAGCCCACCTCCTGGTCTCCATTCTCCATGATAGATGCTTTAATTTTTTTTTCTCAAGAATTTTGGGTGAATTGTTCCATCTTAAGAACTATCAACATGCAAAAAAATAAATTCGTTGGCCTCGCAGATAATTGGCCGCTGAAATCTGATTTGCTAAGATAACTGGAAATTTGTAACTGGTACCTGAGCCTCCGCTACGCGAGCCACTGACCATTTGTCTGGCCAACCGCCATTAAAAAGTTAAAATTGATTTGCTAACCCTGTGAATCATACGTTAAAACCACTAAAGTCGTTTCGTTGATGCAATATTCCTGGATTCGCTGATTTTTGATTTACTGTTACAACTAAACATTTGTTGTTTGAATCTAAACATTTATTCATAAACTAGCGCACGGTCGCTTCGCGTCCGTCCCTAGATTAAATTATGTTACATTATTTTATTTTATTGTCTCCTAACTTCATCTTTCAGTATAAATTAATTAAAATTTTTTAATATCCTAGTGTTAAGATTCAGTGTAGATTAGAGGGAAAAGAGAAATGTAGAGAGAAAGATGATCATAAAAGAGCAAAAAAAAACAATTTTGGATCAATATTTTCTACGTGCTGCGGCAATGGGAGGGAACGGGCAAAATTCGAATGCAACTTTTTCGCCTTGGAACATTTTACATTCAGGACCAAAATCGTGGCAATGACACCGACAGTCAAAAGAATTTTTCGTCAACTTGGATATCAAAATTTGTGCCTCTCACCCATAAACATGCATTTTTGGAATATTTGCCATCTTTCAATTTCGCTGAAACCTCGTTCATTAGTTGATAGGGTACCTAGAAGCAGTTTAAGGCCGAAAACGAAATCTTGGCCGCGATACCGAGTGTGAAATGAATTTTTTTGTCAAATTAAACATCAAAATTTGGGCCTCTTACCCACAAACATCGATTTTTGGAATATTTGCCATGTTTCAATTTTGTTGAAACTTTTTTCATTGGGTGATAGGGTGCTCATCAATAGTTTACAGTTGAAAACAGAGTCGTGGCAACGATACCGGGAGTCGAACGAATTTTTTCGTCGACAGAAAAACTGACTTTCCGGTGACCGTGGAAAACATTAGATCGTCGGGTTTCCCTTCAACTCGGCGAAAATATCCACAAATTCTATCGAAATTATCGTATCATCTTAATGAGAAGGAATCAATGAAGTTACGGAAGAAGTCATCATCGGAAAAACGGAGAAATCGATTTTTGATGTCCGTGGACAACGTTAAAATTGCTTTTTTCTATTATCACTGCGAAAACACCCATAACTTCGATGTCTGCTATTGTATTTTGATGAAATTATAATCGTGTCATTTTGATTATTTCGATTGCAGCAAGTGAATGAAGTGCCGAAGAGATCATCATTGCATGAATCCGTGGAAAATGTTAAAATCGTCAATTTTCTCTCCAATACTACGAAAATACCTACAAATTCGATGCCTGCTATTACATTTCGATAAAAATGTCATGTCATTTTGGTTATGAGGAATGAATAAAGTGTCGGAAGAGGTCATCATCGAGAAAGCAAAAAAATCGATTTTTCGATGTCCCCGGAAAACTTCAAAATCGTC